CTGATGGGCAGAAAGCGTAGTGCAAAGGCTTGTTCAGTCACTACAGTTTCACCTGAATCTACCGATTCAAACCCAATTCTGAGACTTGCAGCCTACACAGTGGAGGTCCCACTCACTGTCGATAAATTCAAAGTTGTTGGAGTGCCGGTCAGACCAACCTCATCAAGCAAGCCCTTCGTAACCAATGTTACGTCCGACCCACTATCCAGCAATGCGTACGTGAGAACGCTGCCTTGCAGACCATTCACACGAACCGGTACGATGCCAAGGCAGGTTCCTGATTCCGTCTGAGATGTCGAGTTGCACAAACCAACCAGCGTGGTTTTGTTGGCATCCGGCATTACATGCAACAGATGATGGTGAGACCCCAAGCAGCTCTCTATACCACACTTCTTAGGAGAATCGCACTCGTTACTGGCATGGCCTGGTTTCAGGCATACAAAACATAACCGCTTCCTTCTCACCACACACCATCTTGCTTGCACTGGCAAGTCAGTGAACCTACGACATTGCGACAGTCCGTGTCGTTCGTCGCAAAATAAGCACGAGTCATGGGTTCCGTTCTGAACGGAAGATGTATTATGGCGCCTTTCATTGTCTACCCGATGATGCTGTGTTTGGGGACGATGGTGTTCTGAGCCTATGGTAAGCATACCATAGCGGCCGCGAGCAATGCGGGCCTCTTGAGAAACCAAGTTGCATAGGTCAGAGAAACCTATCTGTTTTCCAAGGTTGTCCATAGAGTTAGCCAACCTTGCCCAGTTCCGACAAGCTTCCTTCGATAACGTACGGAGAATACGCTCTATGGTGGAGACGGAATTCATGTAATTAGTATGATTCATCTGACTTAGAGCAACGTGAAGGTTTTGAAGATTTATCGACAAACGAGAAGGTGAATCTGCATCGTCATGCAACGGTTTCAATTTCTTTAACAGATGGTCCAGTATGGCTCCGGCCACCATATGTTCTCTTCCAAAGAGATCCTTAAATATTTCCCTCGCTCTAGCGTAAGTAATCTCGGGAGGCAAAATCACGCATTCAGCCACGGCTTCCTTCGCAGGACCTCTGCAGTAATGAATCAAATATAGCATCCGCTGTCCAGTATCTTGCACTCTATCCTCTATGTAGTATTTGAACTGTTGAATAAATCTCCAATAGCAGCTTGGGTTGCCGTCGAAAGCCTCTAAGTCCACTCTAGGTAGGTCTGCCTTAACCACGCAAGAAGTCGGTTGGACCGCTGTTGCCTCACACATGGGTGTGTTACTTACTATCCCGGCTAGGTAATCCTTTGCCTTATCCTGCGGGTCAACCTGCACGTCAACGACGGAATCATCGTCCGAATCCAGCTATAACTCCACTAGACGCACCTCATTACGCACTCGCATAAGCTGCAATTCTTTCTACATTTCCTCTGCCTTAATCTGCGCTCGCAATGACGCATCTAACTTCAGTCTTTTATGCTTAGATGAGTCAGAGCCAGGAGATGAAGCAATAGCTAAAGGATTGCCAGAACGGCCGAAATGCCTCGATTCCTCCGGTAGATAGAATTCAATTGACGGGGCCTTCTCCATCTTCTCTGAGTTCGCAGATCGTTCAGCACTGCGTCCGTAGATCGTTGTGTACTAGATCCGTACTCCGTTGAGTACTGGAACCGTTGAGTACTGTTGCGGCTATCTGCTTTCTGAGTTTGAGTCACGCGGGCCAATCCAGGAAAACGAACAAGAAATCCGAATTCTGGAATCACGATACTATTGCAAATATAATAATGTACATATTCAACAGACCTCAACGGATTCTCCTCTGCAGATACCGTAGGGTTACAAAAATAAGGCGGTACAATTACCAGCCTGAGGATAAAGCGCAGATCACTACGCCTCAAAATCGATATCGTCACAACCAAACAGATATCGACGGCGAGCAACCGCAAAATCACAATGTCCGACCAAAGTCCGTAAGAGTTATAAAAATAGTTCAGTAAAACAAGAAGGTTTCACTACATCTGGTCAAGGGGAATAAATATGGGGATTGGCTGTCACTTGGGGTTGGAAACGGGAGCACAGTGTTGGCAAGGTGTCTTCTACAAGTGGTGCCGCGGGCAGTTCCTGGGCCAGACGCACAAGCTGCTCCACACTCACCTGGCCGGTTGCTCGTGCCAACCGCAACTGGGCACCAAGCGCCGGCTGCACATCTTCGATGAACTGTTCGGACAGCAACTGGTGTCGCGACACCCCGTCCAGCCCCGGCAAAGCGCGATCTAATGAATGCTGCAGGCCAGCGAAGAACACGGTCGGATCAGATCCGGGTGCCGTCCTGGCCATCTTGAACCGCCCCATAGACTCCTGGCGGTTGGCCGGCGTGTCGAACTCCGCTGCAAGGACTTCCTTCGCGGCGGCCTAGTCAATATTCTGAGGGCCTATTCTGGCCGCATCCAGGGCCGCATTCGCCCGGCTTTTGAGGAGGGCCTCGAGCGCCGCCAACTTACCCCGAACGGTCCCCAGCCCGACAGCCTCTGCAAACTCCTTAAAATCCGCCAGGAAGGTCCGAACATCCGAACGTCAAAGGGTTGCGGCAACGGGATTTCCATCCTTATCCTGGTGACGGCAATAAATGAAAGGTAGAAGGCGTTCGCTGCGCAGTTATTTATTAGAGAATGCCAACTGACAGGCCACAGATCATTGGACAGGAAAGCGAAATTCCAATTTGCATCATATTTACAAAAACCGGACATCCATCTTCTGAGCGTGTCCTCTCGAACTTTCCTGGAGATTCATTGACTCCAATCATTCCTCACTCAAATCCAAGCAGATGTTATAAAGTGTCTCCACGAATTCCGCAACATGAGCATCACAGAACCAACTGCCTCACCGTTTAACGTGGGTTGCCACAGGGTTGCTGTCCCATCGCAGAGCAGTAAACCCGTGAAAACTTTGGAACCCCTAGGTCTCATAATTTTTGGCGAAAAATCTTGAATACCAACGTCAAAACAATGATGACAACCATCTGTCACCCCAAATGACCAGCTATGTTTAAGTCAATGTGACATGCACACACAAAACAGTTGTGGAACTTTGGGGAACTTGAGCATTCATAGTCCACTATGGCACCAGGTAGCCTCATCTATGGAAGTGTCATTCTAGGGTGATGGCCTGCGAGGGGGAGGTCTCCTGCTACCTGTCACCAGAGCCACGCGCTTAGCCATTTTGATTGCTCCCTTCCCCAACCAGGAGTGACCCAAGCTATAGGCGTATAAGCCTAAATAGCGCGCCGTACGAGGTGATTGAACGCATCCTGAAGCGCCATTTTGATCCCTTCCCCAACCAGGAGTGACCCAAGCTATAGGCGTACGAGGTGATTGAACGCATCCTGAAGCGAGCCATCCTAGATCGATCACCTTCCAGCAATCCGATATCTCCAGCTAAACATGGATTTCTCCCAAACTGCTCTTGCGTGACAAACATGCTCGTGTTTATGGACAGCTTAACCCAAGCCAAGGACGAAGGACTCATATCGGATGCCATATTTTTCGACTTCTCAAAAGCCTTTGATAGGGTCCCACACGTCCCGCTGCTCCACAAACTCGAGTCTTACGGGATTCAAGGGAAAATCCGTCGCTGGATCAAGGCGTTCCTATCAAACAGATCATTCCGAGTGAGAATAGGCTCGACCTACTCTTCTCCAGAGACGGTCGCCATTGGAGTTCCTCGAGGCTCCGTCCCGGGACCACTCCTGTTTCTGATCTACGTCAACGACCTCCCAGACGTTCTTGCGAGTCCATGTTTAC